TCCTCCATCGATTTATTCCGCACAAAGCAGTGTGGTTTTTGGTCAAAGACAAGACAGTAGACAACAGGCAGCCGAACTGCACCTTTGTGTTTGTCCCAAAAGTTGTGTACATTTCGTGAAGACATCGATAAATCTTATCTACAAGGTCATTTAACACCATAACTCTAACTTCAAACTTCAAATACCGCAACTTGCCGGTAACAGCAGATAAACACATGGAGACACGACGAGAATGGACATGATATCATTCACCCCTGAAGAATTTATTTTTTTTTTTTGGGGGGGGGCAAAATTGGTGTTCCCCTATGGATAGATAGATACACAGGTCTTGAATTTTTATGCATTACGCAATTAGAACTACGTTCTGTCAAACGCAATGATCCGTCACTGCTGTTTGCCATTGTGGAGCTCAGAGTTGTCATTTGCCTTTCCAATAGACAGGGCAAGATCCTGGTAACCGTGAAACTGGGCAAAGTGTCGGAGTTGATCGATGATGTGCATGGTGATGTACAGTCTTTGGGTGAAGCAAAACAGTGGGTGCTCTATCTATTATCATGTTTCTATAGCGCTGGGTGTGAAACACTTGCATGTTTATTGCGGCTTGTGTAGTGGAGATTAAATTGTAGTTCTTGCTGTTATCAGTTATCACTGTCATATTATCTGTCACCATTTTGCTTGAAAAGGTAATTTGTTGGCTGCTTAAAAAACAAACTTAAAAATTCTCAACCTGCAACAGCAAAAAGGTGGCCGTGGCCGCTTAAAAGAGGTGACCGTTGAAAAGAGGTATCAAATACAGGATTTTACTGACAAATAATGTGGGACTTTGGAAAGTGGCTGCTTAATGGAGAGTGGCCGCTTAATAGGTGGCTGCCTAATAGAGGCCCGACTGTACAACAAATTGTATTTGACAGATTTTCTTTCATTACTTGCTGATGTTGACTGATGTGCAAGTATTCTAGACTAGCTTTTACCAAGCATATTTCTTTGTTTTAGCCAATTGTTTCACTCCCCTTAGTTAAAACATTAGGCAAAAAATGACTCCTTTCATAAACTATTCCCAGGAAACTGGAAGTACTCAATTTAATCCATCCACTTGTAATACTGCTTTCTGTAATTACTATGTGTAACATAGTATGAATTATTGTTCTTGTGATATATTTGAGTAGACAAAAATTATTTTTCTACACTGCCTTTAACAGGTTACTGAAAGTCTATTTCAATAACAATGCATTTACTATTCAGACATTTGTAAATAAAGCAATCAATCACCTTGGCTCTCCAGTTTCCTGATTGCCAAGCTGGCTGCTACCACCTCTGACTAAAGCACAATCAAAACAATAAGTTACATAAAACTGGAAGCATGTGAACATTGCATTTATTACGGTGCCATAAATTTCCGAATAACTTTGAAACATACTATTGAACATTTATTTTGTTTTGCTTGTGCTAATCTCAGACAGAATACCAATGACTTGAAAGAAGGAAGGTGAATGACAAATTATGTGACCTTCACCAGTTTTATTGTCTTTTTACTGTCATTCTGACTTCAGTGGCATTAACACTCTCATAAATTATATTATTGGAGTTCCTGACCATTTTTTAACCCACTCATAGATAGACTTTGGAGAAAAAAACACTACATTTGGAAACTAAATAATTTATTTCTCCTCAACCAGTTAGTCTTTGTCTTGCTTCTAATAACAAAAACTTTTAAAAGGAGGGCTATATAGCTGTATATAAGCAGTGTCATTTGTTAGACAATCTATATAGCCTGAAGGACCAAAGGAAGGTGTCTGCTTACATTTACTAGAGGTGTCCAATCAGGGGCTCATGTAGCAGCTCTCGTAAGGTCTCACATGAATGGCTCAATACCCGTTGACAGAGCAATAGAACAGACAACAGAAACAATGCCCCTAGCCCTAAAACAATAACAGCTGCTACACCATGACAACAAATAGAATTACAAGCTTATGAGAACTGCTAGACTTCCACAATCATGGTGTCAGTTTTTTTCTGCAACAAAACACCTGGGATCAGAAGTGAAAGGGGTAGAATATACACAAAAAAATTAAAGATTCTTCTAACCAATCCTCCTGTCATTTCTGACTGCTTTGATGATGGCTATCTTGTCCAATGCTTTTTTTATTATACTGAAAATAAAAGAAAGACAAAAGACAACAAATCAATAATGCCTCATTCTCACTGTAGAGATACTGTATCCTAGTGAATATAACTGACTGTATTTGCAAAACACATGCCCACAAAGAGCTCAAAGACAATCCCTGCAGCTACAAGTGCCTTGACCACCACCCCCTCCAGCTAAGATATTGGCCCGTCACGCAAGCACCCCAGGGAGCAGGGCAGCAGGGCAGCAGGGCAGAAGGGTCCCATGTCACCACAGAACCCTCAAGCAATGTTCAACAAGTGAGCAAAGTGCCCAGCCACATAGTCGATATCAATGTTATTTGGTATTGAAAACTCAAGTCTAGCTAGGTGAAAGTGACAGTGAAAGACACCCTCCCCTCCCCACTGCAATTGATGGCTGGCTGCCAGTAACGCACCACCAGATAGGCCAGTGCCTGGGCCATGTCCCCATCCTGGCCTTGACAGAGCCCCTTCCCCACCCCGCCTAGGTTTAGAGCAACTTGCTAGGCCTGTCAGAAACCTAGCAGGTATGTTTTTGCGAAATCGCTCAGATTTAATTTAAATTTTTACAACCTATGGTTAAAAGGCCAAAGGATATACAAAATACAGTGAAAACTCTTTATAAATATGCAGGCAACTGCATAATTTGATCCTATTTTAGCTGCCAAAGCTATATAGCAACTGAAAATCATAGATTGAGGTTCAAATTTGGATATAGTATATACAAGGTTTATACTCTTTTGAGCTTTGAAAATTCTATCAGATGACTTTCCATGACCTTTCTAAGTTTTCCATGGCCTATGTTAAGCAGTTGTTCTCTAAGTATTGTCATTGAAACAATCTATTATTTAAGGTAGTGTCTATTTTTTACTCAAATTAAAACCAGTTTTCTGATCTGTCTGTTATTTTTTCAACTTTTGATCTTTTTGCCTTTTTATTCTCAGAAAGTACATTTGTTTAATTCCATGACCCACACCTCAATTTCACGACTTTCAGCAGACCTGGAAAATGAAATTATAAAATTCCACAACTTTCCAGGTTTTCCATGACCCCTATGAACACTGATATAGTCATAAATATTTTGTTCACAAGTCACTGTGTTAAATACTGTATATAATACCACACCATTACATACTTACTCTACTTCAGTCTCTGCATCAGTACCCGCTGTTTTGTACAAACCTCGCAACTTTGACTTGAAGTAAGAAGACACTGCAGAAAACACACAGATATTTATGGGAATGGAATGCATGCAAAAGTGGAAAGGTCATTAAGGCATTACATCAGCTCTTTAAATTCTATTTTTTAACTACCAGTGGAAATATATACAAACATCAAGAAACAGCAAAATAAATTTATTCACCTTTAACTTGTTCTAAATAAAAGATGAATTTCGTCAACTAACAAATTAAAGGGATTTGTGGACTTAAATGCCTTACAAAACCCTAAATCATTCTAAATCCCTTGCTAACAACATAATCTGAAATGATGTCGAAAGGCAGTTTGCTCAAAAGTTTACCTCTAACTTCTGTCTTCATCTTCTCGTGGGTTTTTGTAATTGTAGAAAGATTTTGTTCACTTTGTGTCCGTTGCTCCTAGAATGAGTTATTATATAAACAGCTGTATCAGTAATCATTAGACAAATAGACAAAAAAATTACCGGCCAATTCATCTTGATATTTAGAATATAGCTGCTGTACACCCACTTTTGGAGCTGAGCGTGCATTTATTTTTTTGTACATGCACAGCTGGAAATTATAAGGCACATATTTTCCTAGATGTTTTGTTCCCAGTATAATCACTGTCCCTTCTAAAAATTATGTAAATAGTTTTGTTTTTACATGCTATGTTCTAAAACAAAATAGAAGATTGTGTTCCTGCACTTTAGATATGCTGTCATAAATGCTTCCAGTTTCTGTAACAAATAGCTTTATTTATGGGGCAGGGTTGTTTATCACAGTCCTGTTCCCAACCCTCACTCTGGCAGACCAGGAGATCAC